GTTACTCCCGGGGGCGGCGGGCGCGCGTGGCGGCGGTTCCCTGATTGGAACGACGACAGCGGATGAACCCAGCGCCGCGAAGTGCGGGAGAGGAAGCACCTGCTAGCCGCGTTCGGTGCTGGAACTGCGCCTACGGGAGGGCAGGCGGGTGCGCCCTCTCGATATCGTTGGCTGCGATGGTCCAGCGCAACGACGCTGGGGTCTTGGCCCGGCGATGAAACCGCGCTTGTTTTCTGCCAGCACCCACGACTTCTCGGTGCTGGATTATTATCCTTTTTTTTTTCTTGTTCTCTTATTTTGAGTACGCCATTTTTTTGTTTGTTTTCGTCGGGCGGGTAGGCAGGGTTACGTGGCTGACTTCTGTTGGTGCTTTGATTGGGCGTGCGGTCGTGTGGTGTTTCCGCCTTTGGTCTGCTACATACCACAGGCTACCACGCGGTCACGACAGCGGTTTCCAGGTGGCGTTATGTAACGTCGGTTTCGCCTCACCCCACCTGACGTTTTCGTCCGTTGGAACCACGTGCGGGCACGTGCTATAAACGACGTTTGCACTACCGCTGTGCGACCGTCGAGGGTGTGGATTGTCGGTGCCTCGCTCACGTGCTTGTAATGAAGAAAGGGCGGTGCGTGTTTTCGCTGCGAGGATAATTCCGAGAGGCGAAAAGCGGGGGTGGTGCTGAAGCATCCGCGACCGCAGAAATATTGAGTCGGGCGGGGGGGAGGTGGGGGGGGTGATGTACGTGCGCAGGAAGACGCCCTCGTAAGAAACAGTGACCTTGCTTACCGTTTTTGGGAGAGGACACCGAACCCTGTGATTTTTGGGGCGGCGCGGTAATGCATCATCAGATACACATATAAATACGTGAAGGAGAGACTCAAGCCAAGGGCGAAGTGTCAAGTCCTTTCGGGGGAAATAACGAAACGAGAGACGTTGCTGGAAGTTGAAGAGGGCTAGAAGTGGGGGGTGTAACCCGGCGGGGATACGAGCGGCCTTGAATACAGCACCTGGTAGTGACGCGTCTCAGCCTGCTGCTAGCCCCGTAGGAAGTAAAAGGGGTGTATTTTCGAAGAATACCTCATGCCGACGCCATCCGTGATGCCATTTTCTTTCAAACAGTAATGGCATTTTTTTTTTAGTACTCCAGTGTGTGCGGGAGGTGGCAAGCCGAGGAAACTTGGTCTTGGAAAGTCTGCATACTGATCAATATGTTGATGCATTGTTCTGTAGGTTGAGCGCGATTGAAGATGGCTACTAAAACCGATGTCAGTTTTATTTTGATGTACTTGATATATACGTGAAAAAAAACAAAAGAACGTGTGCAGCAGGCGTTTGTGTGGTGGTAACATTCGTGTAGAAGCGCTTCTTTGCGAACTTTTTTTTTTTTTACTCGCTTTCGTGTCTTGTACCTCATTCTCACTGCTGTCGGAGTTATAGATTCTCCCCCGCGGAATTTGTAACGCGTATGGTATTGACCGTTCGTTTCTTGCACCTTCTGGACAAAAAAAGTGTAGAACTAAGGGGTGGAGTGAGTGACTCGCTTGTTGCCACAGACACAACACACCTCCGTTGAGTGGGTGAATTGTGTTTCAGCCTCTACTCGATCGGGCGGCGCGCCGACAACCATAGCTTAGATAGACCACATGATGAGACACCCCCACCAACGGTTATGCTCCACGCTGCCAACTGATTGCCCGACCGAGTGGACGAAACGCTTCACATGTACCATGTTACTTTCAATCTTCGTTTTTCCCTCATCCTCATGTGCTTGCCATTTGTACCCGGCATTTGCTCCCGGATGAATGACGAGTCGTGGCATACGATCACCTCATACAACTAGGATATACATACAGCGCCGGGTCCCGCAAAGAAAGATCAACACAGGACGCGTGGAGGGGGGGCGGGGGTTATACACCTGCGTCATCCAAGCTTCGACTGTAGCAGGTACGGGTGACAAGCACACAACAAGCGCCTCGTTCCATGGACTTTTTTTCTTACCACAACAATAATACCACCTATATGGCCTCCTTTGTCCTTAGGAGCGCCAGAAGGGAACACTACCAATCTCAGAATGGTATCCATGCCCTCTCAGACGCAAGTAACATTACGTGTCCGAGGTCTCGATTACAGGGTTTACGCAATCAGCTATTATTCGATGCATCTCCGGCGTCAAGGAGCACACATTTTTCCCGGCCATTTCCCGTCTCTGCACCCTGTGTGAGGGAGAGAGGGGACACCCAACACACTCTTGTTTCCCCCATCCGCCCACTCATTCCGACTAGTCTAGCTGATCTTCATCGCTACCGCTACCTACCACAAGGAAAATGTATGCTGCACGCTACGCACACGTACACACAACGGCTAGCGGAGGATACCTTGTATGCGCGCGTGTGTGTGCCCGTCCCATCTACTCTGTCTGGGCTCCAGTCTAGAATGAGTACTATTTACCTCCATGTGTTTATTCTTGACTAATGAGCCGGGATCACACAAGAAGATGGAGATGGAAGGTAACACAACGACAGTCTACTAGTCTAATCTCGATCTATGACACACGGAAAGTAGTTTTTTAACTCGTACTTTCGGGCACAAAAGTGGGCTTCCCACCCTCCTTCTTGGAATCTCTGCCTGGCTGAGCTCGACTTTTCATCCCTAATGCCCGTGCCACAAATTCATTTCTTTTCTCGTTTGAGGAGATGCATCAATATCATGATCACAAATAATGTCTTATTGTTAGGATGGGTTCATACCGACAGCCACTGACTGCGCCCTCATGAGGTGACATACGCTCTCGTCTTCGTTCGTTCGTGATTCTTCGACGAAAAATGGCATTCTCCGACGAAAAATGGCGTACCTTCTCAAGGGAAAACTGAATTCCACAGTCTTCAAGAAAACGAAATTCACAATCTTCATACATCAACCTCTTGGCTTGTGTACGAACTCAAGAGGCCTCTATGACAAAGGGCTTCACTTGGACTCAACATTTGATTATGGCAAGAGTCTCCTGTCTCTGAATTGATTATGGCAAGAGTCTCCTGTCTCTGAAGCCAGTTACTTTTGTACAATTGCCCAACAACACAAAAAACATCAAACTTGCACCGCTCGCTCACGAAAACACCGATAGAACACAACCATATTCTGCGTGACATACAACCCGTCGATCCATAATCACCCAAATCTAGCCATCAGTGCTTGCCCACAGCGTCGTCACCGCCGGTCCATGTTTTTGCCGAAGGTTCCAAGATGCGGCGCGACTTGCCGTTCTGCAGATAGGCCTGTCTCGTCGCCTGCTGCATGGGTGCCTTCATTGAATGATGAGCTCCTTTTCGCCCCACCCGTACGGCCCCTTGTACTTGTCGAAGATGCGGCGCAACTCCGCGACGAAGAGGTCGTGATACTTGTCGATGTCTGCCTGGGTCGGCTCCCCTGCAGACTTTTTGTTGTTGTTCATCCCGGAAGCACGTCGTCGGGAAGTTTGGTATTGACCCACAGGCAGTGGGAGGTAGGTTGGTCATTTGGAAGGGGGGGAGGAGGATGAACGTACGGCATGGCTACGGGGAAGACAACGAAGACTAGGAGACAAACGAAACAGAAAAAATTACCGCAGGACCTCCTTCATAGGTTCCGGCAAAAGTTCCTTCGCTGTACTGCCGTCGAAAACGTACACATTCATGGATGCGGAACACACCTACCTCTGAAGCACTCAACTTGATGGTCGCTCTTGGAATATGACTGTTCTATACTCAAAAAACATTGAGCGGTGTGCCTCACATTCGCAAGCACTTGGAATTGTCGGAATGACCCAGCGTACCTTTGGAACGACGATCGGCCGCCCAGTCACGACTAGCAGGGGCTGCCGCAAGATTATCGGGAGAAGCATTCGCCCCCACACCAGCAGCAATCCGAACCCCAGCTTCCGCGACAAAGCCCTAGGAGAAGGGGGCCCCGCAGGGGAAACAAGCGGCAGGTAGGCAGCACATGGCCGGGGTGGCGGCAGCGGGCAAGGAGAGGATCCAATAGATGTTTTTAGTGATAGCAATATCAACAAAAAAAGTAAAACCTACAGTTTCGTACACCTCGGGATTCAGGTTTGGTGCTTCTTATCGCCCCGACACACGGCTCGTTAACACAAGGGTTGACCGACCCGTGTCTCGTGATTCATGCCTACCGCAGTCCCCGACGAGAAATGCCGAATCAAGCGCTAAGGCATATTTGTATGTACACTGCATGCGTCGTCGAAGCACGGAACACCCCCGCCCGTGCTCATCGAAAAAGAGGTGCGGGGTGGTCGATCGACATCACCTGGTTTCGGGCAAGCAACAGCTGGGTATGTACCCTCCCTTTTCCTGATGGTCGAAAGACCGAAGCTCCTATCTCTGCTTGTGGTAGGGGATAGTGGATGTCCAAGTGTTTGCTTCGATCCCTGTGGCCATGCATCACCACGATAGGTACTCCTCCCAGCTCTCTCGACAGCAAGCGACGATTTCGACCTCTTCACAAAAAGCTGGCCGCTCGCCAAAAATGCCACCTTAAATCGTCGGCGTCTTCGCTTCTTTGTTGATTTCGAACCTGAGTATGCCGTAAGGGTCCTGCCACGATCGAAAGATGCGGGTGTTGCCGAAGGTGTAGCAGGGCACCAGCGTCGTCCCCATGCGCAGGCTCAGCTTGACGAATCCTTTCCTCGCCCTGTCGCCGTCGAAACCGCCAAAGTCGAGGCACGGCAGCAGCGGTGAGTGGCGACGGAACACAGAAGTGTAGCGAAAACGCGCAGGAACGAAGAGCAAGACAAGCGTGTTCATGAACATCCAACGAAGAAGATGGTGGGGGTGGGAGGAAGTTGCGTTCGAATTGCGTTCAATTCCCCGATCGAGAGGTCCAACCGCTAAAACAAAATATCGATATTAATTGGTAGTCCCGATTTACCGTACACCAAACCACGGTTCCGAATAGCACGGTTCCCGACAAGTTGCGAAAGTAAACCATTGGCACACGACAACCTACCCTACTACGAAAGAAAGTACAATTCAGGGAACATCTTCCAATAGTTCGGGTCCCGATATAACGCGGTTGTTATTGCCTATCCCTACACCGCGGTATATCGGGACGTGCTACTCGGGACCACGGTACGGTATATCCGGACCACCACTATATATATTGGGAATGAAAATGATACCTTTGAGAAGTGAGCGTGGTGTGCTTCAGCTATAAGCAACACGGGCGATCGTGGTTTGCTCTTGTCGGTGTAGCAAGCCGTCTTATCTCACCTGAGGAAAAGCACTTCGTTGTCGTTGTTGCTGTCGAAGATCTCCGCCACGCCCCCCGGGCAAAGCCCGACGCTCCAGCCCTCGCCCACGCTGCGAGCGACCTCCTCCCTCCCGGCGCTCTGGCACCCGATCCAGGTCATGACGTGGCGCATCAGAGGAAGCCTGCGTAAACATGATGGAAAAATTGTAACAAAGTTGGCTTGAGGGAGTACATGGCGAGGTGTCGGAATAAAGGCAAAGGTAAACACATCGAGATTGACTAGAGGGATGTGTTGGCAAGATGTTAGGATTCCGGGTGTCGGCAGTGGTCATGCGGCGACGAACAAGGGGTAGGCCTGACCGAGGAGAAAAATATTCAGTGACGGTTGAATCGATCAGCAGGAAGATCATACGGGATAGGAAAATCGAGGCAACAACAGTCATTGTTATCGTTGATCCAAGCATCTATTTCAACGTGACGGGGGACCCCTCTCTGTTGTGTTCCTACCAACGAGATGCACCTGGCCGCCCTGAGGGTGCTCCCGGCGAAAGGGTTGCCATGTTGCCAAATTCACGCATACAAGTAATCTCTCCAGAGTGGGCTGATGAGAGCACAGTAGTGTCATCCAGCGATGCAAGGGGAGACAACAAAACAGGCAGCAGGACCAGCCAGCCCACAGCTCGGTGCCAGCTGCCAGTTTGGTTGTGACGTTTCCCAAGCTGCGAACCTCAACTAACCAAAAAGATAAAACCTGTAACATGTGGAATAATACAGTCTTACGTGCACAGAGGCAAAAAATCCATTGCATCTCACATCTACCTACATGTACCAATCGCATTCTACTTTTCCTATCCTCGAGCGCAAGCTGCAATCCACCTATCAATGCACAAGGCAGCTGGTTGCTTATGTTTTCGTCTGTTCACCTCAAGGCAGCGTCCGTGGTGAGCCCCTTGAAGCTGAACCCCCAAACCAACGGGAAGGAGATCATGGTCACCAAGTTGCCGACCTTCCCATGATGTCCGCCGGTCGGTCGCACGTAGCAAGCAAGCAGGGGTACATTGCATCACACGCTACATAATGCCGCTCGTTCCATCGATGAGGCTCAATCACTTGCGACACAAGTCAGAACCACTCATGACACTGCTGTTGTGTGCACATGTGCACCCGCTCGAGTCTTGCCCGACCTCGTCTCATCGACTTGAGGGCAGTGGGGGCCGTGTGAATGTGCCTCTGCTTGTTTTCCAGTTCTCTCTCGGAAACAACAACTCGGACGGACAACCGCAGTACGACCTACGTAGGTTTTATTGATTCCCATGCCTGAGTCTGTGCTTCGCACCGGTAAAATGCCATGAGGTGGCGCACACAAAAAGTACGGTCCCGCAGAAGCCTCCAGCGGAGCTTCCCACGCGAAACAGCACGATGTATACCGGAAGATGTGAGGCGTTATCCTGAAACCGGGAGGAGGGGGTGGGGGGGGGGGGGGTACTCATAGTCGTGCATGCCGTAGTCGTTAGACCATTGACCTCGCATCCCTACAAAGCCGGGACGGAGCACGCCGGGTTCTCACCGGACCAGGCTCTCACATCACCAAGCGCGAAGCGCCGTGAGATATTCGGCGAGTCGCATGAAGGGTGCGCTGCATCCTGCAAAGAGTGTTCGGCCTCTTGTGCTTACTTCCTTGCGTACGGATGACAGCTGCGTATGACTTGAGTACTTGTCTGGTGCTTTCACTTCCAGAGACAGTTAAAGGCACTGTGTAACTGCGTCGAGGGTGCTTGACCATTTGACAGAACGTGGTGCGGTCTTCCCCCTTGCACGGAGTGAGGCTTCTCCACCCCGCACAACATGATCCACTCGACCACCGTTATGGTCACCGCCAAAGCAGAACAGAGGAACAAAACAACAACGGTGACCTGGTTGCCGAGCTCACGAAGTGAATTGGCTTGTGATACGACGTCGTTGCCAAGGGACGAAAACCCAACCCCGATGGCAAACGCCGGGGGGCGGGGGGCGTGTACTCATGGTCGTGCATGCCGTGGTCGTTAGACATTTGACCTCGCATCCCTACAAAGCCGGGACGGAGCACGCCGGGGTCTCACCGGACCAGGCTCTCACATCACCAAGCGCAAAGCGCCGTGAGATATTCGGCGAGTCGCATGAAGGGTGCGCTGCATCCTGCTAAGGGTGTTCGGCATCTTGTGCTTACTTCCTTGCGTACGGATGACAGCTGCGTATGACTTAATTTATTTTCTGGTGCTTTCACTTCCAGAGACAGTTGTAAGCACTGTGTAACTGCCTCGAGGGTGCTTGACCATTTTAACACAACGTGGTGCGATCACCCCCCTTGCACGGAGTGAGGGTTCTCCACCCCGCACAACATAACCTACTAGATCACCATAATGGATACCGCAAAAAAAAAAACAGAAGGAGGGGGTAGGGAAGGGGCTTCAGTGGTGGCATGGGGACGGGGGGGGGGGGCCTCATGTTTTGCTTGCCTT